TGTGATGGAAGAGCGAAAATGGGGCAGTATGGAAATGCCCTCACCATAGCAATCCTACACAGAACCCCTTCAAACTAACTGTGGCAAGCCAGGTTCTACCACTCGAGATGAATTCATCGATTCATAGCGTAGATTTGCATGAGGTTTTGCACATGTTTTGAAGAATCACTTATGGGTCAGATGCTGTAGAAGATCCATTACTTCAAGCCATCCAGATTGACTGGTGGGCTTACAAACTTCTCCAAAAATAGAGTGAGTCACAGCGAGAAGACAAGCAAGGTTAAATTAGTTGACATCCTCCTGTGCTCCTCCGGGAAAGGATGCTTCAGAAAACTGTCAAGATTTAGAATCACAAATTGTGATGAGTGGTGCTTGAAATATCTCTCTAAGCCAGGTAGAATGAAGCCTGCGTGAAGAATTCACCACCCCAATTAGAGGCTTTTTAGCTTCGGTGACAACTTGAAATGCATTCCCGGGGCTCACTTTAGAAAATTGTAATGGGGTGAGTCCATACACATCCTTGTCATTTCAGACTTTTTTTAAAGTTTATCCAAGAGGAAACGTTCAAGGTGATTGTTTCTAAAAGTCATCTCCTAAAGTCAAACTCATTCAAAATACAAATCAGATTTTCAGATATGAATTTGCTTCTAATCATTTTATAAGGGGTCTGCCAAACAGCAAGTTTAGTTTAGTTTAGATTGTCATTGCACCTCGTACAACGAAATTAAATACCATCTTCAGTGTACATTATGACTATGAAAATAAACACAAACACACATCCTGCACATTCTATTCATTGAATCAAAAACCCCTAATATTGCATTAATATTGCACTATACAGTAGAATTCAACAGAGTTGAATTCTAGAGCCACTGCCCTGGGATAGAAGCTGTTTTTCAGCCTATTTGTCCTTGTTTTATTATCCTGTAGCGTCTGCCGGATGGTAATAGTTCAAAAAAGGGTGCCCAGGATGAGATGGATCTTTGAGAATATTTTGAACTTTCTCAAGGCAGTGGGAACTATAAAGCTCTTCCAGAGAGGGAAAAGGGCAACCAATGATCTTCTGGGCAATGATGTTAACCCTTTGGAGTGCTTTCCTATCTGCCACTGTGCAATTGCAAACCATAAAGAGGTATAGTAAGTTAAGTTACTCTCTATGGTGCAGCAGTAGAAAGTCAGCAGCAGTTTTTCATTCAGTTGTTGTTTTCTGAGAAGTCTCAGGTAGTATAATCTCTGCTGGGCCTTTTTGACCAGGGTTGCAATGTGGGCACCCCAGGTCAGGTCCTCTATTATGGTAACACCCAGAAACTTAAAACTGGCCACTTGCTCCACTCGGTCTCTGTTGATAAGCAAGGGCTGGATGTCTGATCTGTTCCTTCTATAGTCCACTATAAGCTCCTTGGTCTTATTGGTGTTGAGGACCAAGTTATTGTTTCTACACCATGAAGCAACCAGTCCACCTCATCTCAGTAGGCAGACTCATCCTCTCTCCCGCCCCCGGAGATGAGTCCCACCATTGTTGTATTATTTGCAAAGTGTGGAGAAAAGCAAAATGAATTTCAGCGTGAGCATCTCTTCCTCCTTCCCATATACAATCGACCCACTTGTGGCACACACACACAAAAATACTTATATGAAGATCCTAATCATAAAGGGTCATAAAACATTGTTCCAATTTCATTGCTACCGTATTGTAGAAAATGAAACTGTTTTGCTTGCACCCTCTACTGTCCAAACAAAGATGTGGACATAGTTGCCAGTAAATCAGTATTCGTTATAGAGGCTTCCAAGCCCAGTTCAAAGTGTTTTGCAGGGACGTTGAAATAAAGCAAGTTCATTTTGCCCACTGCTGAAAGGGATGCTGGAAAATTCAGTTGCCTGGATTTGAGAAACTGGACAACTAACTTTCCAGGAAGTTAGATAAACTTCCTGCCTTTAACAGCTCGAATAAGTTCACATTATGCTCACCAGGAGAACAAATGACAAGGCAAATAAATAGTTTATCAAGTATTTCAAACAGGCAGACAGTGTTATAAATCTTTTAGGGAACAGTGAGACAAAGGAAAAAACATAGGCTGGCATCTTCCCCCCCCCCCCCCCCCCAAGCATCAGGTGATTGGCCATTGATAATCATTAAATCCAAAATAAAAGGGTGGAAGTGCATCAGTAGAAAACATAAAAGCAAAATAAAAATAATCAAGTTACCTGGCCAGATTTAAAATCTGCTTCAGCCAATAAACAGACATAGCCGTGAAAAGACTATTGTTTGCCACCATTGTATTCGTTACAGAGGCTTCCAAGCCCAGTTCAAAGTGTTGGTGATGACCCATAAACATAGTTAGATACCATAGCCATATTTTCTTGGGGGGAAAAATAAAATAAAGACCTGAAAAAGGGGCCAATCTGTTGATAAAGGATTTTTAAAAATGTAATGGTTTATAACTTTGCTTACAAAGGAAGAATCAGGAGCAAAACCAAGAAAACAAATGATTAAATTAAGCCAATCTAAAGGATAGCTTTCTAAAATCAAGGTTCTATGGTGACTGTAGTTACAGAGTGTAGCACCTTGTTCCATTAGTTAGTGCAAGATTAAACCTGCCTATCCAGTGCGAAGAAGAAACAACAGAACAGAAGAAAAAGATGCAAGTGTTCTCATAGTAGATGAACACTTGCAAAATGAACAAAATTGTGTCACCAGGCAATTTACAGTTCAGTGGTGGGATTCAAACTTTTTTACTACCGGTTCTGTGGGTGTGGCTTGGTGGGCATGGCAGGGGAAGGATACTGTATAATCTCCAGTCAGAGGTGCTATTTGCTGGTTCTCCAAACTACTCAAAATTTCCGCTACCGGTTCTCCAGAACTGGTCAGAACCTGCTGAATACCACATCTGTTACAAGGCAAACAAAATTACAACTTACAAGGCAAACAAAATTACAACTTACAAGGCAAACAAAATTCTGAGATGCGTCACTAGAGGGATAAACAGCAGGGAAAAGGAGGTCCTAATCCAGATGTACAGGTAGTCCTCGACTTACAACAGTTCATTTAGTGACCATTCAAAGTTACAACAGCTCTGAAAAAAATGACTTATGATCATTAGAATTAGATTAGAATTCTTTTATTGGCCAAGTGTGACTGGACACACAGGGAATTTGTCTTGGTGCAAATGCCCTCAGTATACATAAAAGAAAAGATACATTCGTCAAGAGTCAAGAATCATCAGGTACAACACTTAATGATAGTCATAGGGTACAATAAGCAATCACATCATACTAAGAAACAGTCAATATAGATCATAAGGATACAAGCGACAAAGTTAAGTCACAAGTGGGAGGGGATGGGCGATAAGGAGTGATGAGAAGATTAATAGTAATAGTAGTAGTTTCATTTTTCACTTACGACCGTTGCAGCATCCCTATGGTCACACGATCAAAATTCAGATGCTTGGCAACTGGTTCATATTTATGACGGTTGCCGTGTCCTGGAGTCATGTGATAAGCTTTTGCGAGCTTCTGACAAGCAAAGTCAATGGGGAAGCCAGATTCACTTTACATCCCCTGTTACTAACTTAACAAATGCAATGATTCACTTAACAACCATGGCAAGAAAAATCATAAACTTGCTTAACAAATGTTTCACTTAGCAACATAAATTTTGAGCTCAATTGTGGTCATACCTCATGGACTACCTCTATAGGTTTGTAGTCAGACCCCATTCAGAATTGTGTTCGGTACTGAAGACCTCACTTAAAAAAAATATTGGTAAGATTGAGTACAGATTGAGTACAGAGATGGGGCAACAAAAATGGTGCAAAGTCTGAAGGCCAAAACATATCAGCAGAGATTGGACGAACTGAGTATGTATAGCCTGGAGGATAGGAGGGAAATTGGGGGGGGGGGGGGACAAGTTTGTAACCCTTAAATATATTAAGGATGTGAATAAGGTTCTAGAAGGCAGTATTTTCAATAATTACACAAAAATCAAAAACCCAAGGACATAACTTCAAACTGACAGGAGGGAAAGTTCAAAAGTAGTGTTAGAAAGTTATTACTTCAAAGAAAGAATAGAAGAAACTTAGAACCAATTTATAGCAAAGGTAGTGAGTCAATCATCAGTAACTGAGTTTAATCATGCTTGGAATAAACACAGGACCATCATCCCATAAAAATAAAAAAAATAAAGTATAAAAATAATAATTTTTAGATAGGTGGACAAAACAAAATGCCAAAACCAGTCTAAACATGTGGCTGACTGTGCGACAAACAAAAATAAACTAAAAAGAAAATCTCTTTAGTAGAGGGATTTAATTCCTCCTCCTCAATTTACCAGGGAGAACCGTGAATTATACAGCCAGTGGGAAGTTAGAAACAGCAAATTATATATGTAGGACACAGGAAAGTATATGCAAAAGAAAGAGAGAATTAGTAGAAACAGAATTAGGAGAGGCAAAAAAAAGTAGCTTAAAATGTAACAAGATGGTGCTCTGTTGGAAATCCTTTGGTTGAATTTCAAATTTTGAAACATTTATTTAGAAACATTGATTGGTTGATTAAACATTTGTTCTAGAAATAAACAAAATAGAAATATATACACGCCTCTTTTGTTTATAGAGACGTTTCTTTTCCCAACCCCGCTTTGGGCTCCAAACATATTTTCAGACAGCAGACAGACAGGCAGGCAGACATCTTGAATGAAGACACAGGTAATTGGTTCGTACAAACGCCCTTAACAAGCCCGTTGTATTCTGCACCATGCTTGTATTTTGTACTTGATTTCAAGATCGAGCCTTCCGAAATACGTGTTTAGAAACCGCGCGTAGATTGCAAGAGATGCACTTTTGTTTCCCTGTTTAATTCGACCAAGGTTGGAGGATCCATCATACCTCCAAGCCTGTAAGAGTCGCTGCAAGGGCGCCTTTGGGCCGTGAGGGCCGTGTTGGCTGTCATTTTCCGGTTACCTCCTCTTTTCTTTCCCCTCTTTCCTTCCTTCCTTCCTTCTGGCGCACGTGTCCAGTGCGTAGCCCTGCTCTCCGGTCTTAACTCTTGCGGAAGGATGGCGGCGAATACCGGGAAGCTTCCGATGCGGCTTCTGCGCAAGAAGCTGGAAAAGCGCAACCGCAAGATCCGTCAACGCAATTTGGCCCGGCAAGGAGCCGCCGACCAAAGCCTGGCCGCTGGGGCATCGCCTGCGGGAGGAACGCTCGGTGAGGGCATCATCATCATCATCTCTTTCTCTCTCCGAGTGCCAGGGTGTGGAAGGAAGCCGGTGGCATCATTGAAGCGGCATTGTTTCTTCAGGGCAGACTCGATTGCCTCTTGCGCAGAAAGGGGCTCCCGCAATGCGGGTTGATTATAATGTCGGAGTTAAGGCAGCTTGGGTTGAGGGTACTTCTCAACAACGTTTGACACAAAACCGCACGGTTAAGAAGCAAACTCAAGCATAGCGGTGTACATGCATCCAACCCTATCAATCATTTGCAAAAAAAAAAAAGTTGCCCAGATGTGGTGAGGGGGTGGTATGGTTTGCATGAGATAAAGAAACCTGGGGGATATTTTTGCTTGGAAAAGGAAGGCCAACTCATGCAGGTATGATCAGCTGATCACTTTCGAGTGCATTTCTCTAGTTAAATACTATAGAAATGACCCCTGAAAGGATAGTCTGATGGAGTTTTGATGTCAGGGGCAAGTAACCAGAAACCGGAGTTGAGTTCAAATGTCAAAAAGTTGATTACGTAGCAATAGCACTTAGACTTATATACCGTTTCACAGTGCTTTACAGCCCTCTCTAAGCGGTTTATAGAGTCCGCACATTGACCCCAACAACCTGGGTCCTCATGCCATCATTGCACAAGAATCTGATCTACTGAGGGTCAGGCCAAATTGGTGCAAGATAAAGGTCCTTGGGATTCAACAGAGGCTGGACTGGGGGCTCTTAAAGGAGTGCAGCGACTTCGAACTGATGACACATTTCCCCCATCCTCGCGATCAGCCTACTCATCTCTTACATTTGAATTGTGTTGAACCCATTAAGGAGCTGGAGCAGTTTCCCTGTGGGAAAAAAAAGTTGCAACATTAGGGCTTTTTAGTCTACACAGGAGGCGAAGGAGTGAAGTATACAAAACGATGCACGAACAGGTTAAAATGGACAAAGGGAAGCTATTTTCCTCTTCCCAAAATACTAAAACCAGAGATGACCCAATGAAATGGAATCTTAAAAGAATAAGGACCAATGAAGGGTGTATTTTTATATACATATTGCTCAGCCTAAGAATTTACTACCATGGTGCTGGCTACCAGTTTGACTGGCCACTGAGAACGGCTTGCTGGATCAGATGAGCCACAAGTGCGATCCAGCAAGGTCTTTTTTTAAAAATAAACTTTATGGATTTTACAATTAAAATGAACAAACAACACAAACACAAATGTGAAAGAAGAGAAAAAAAGAAAAGAAAAGAAAAAAAAGGAAAAGAGGTAGAACGAGGAAGTTAGAAATAGATCTTTTTTTTGATGGCCCAAAGTAAAATAATAAATATTCAGTTCAATAAATGCTTTAGCAAGTATGGTAGAATACAGGGGCTTAATTTATATTCTTGTATAAACAGTGTGTGGTATATTCATTGATCCTTGTTGCCTGAATGAGATTTCCAGATACATTTCAGCACTTAATTTCAGCGCAGCATTGATTGACTCTTTTGTTTATGCCTTTAGAAAATGCAGTGGAGAATGTCTCAGAAGAATTTTGCAACATTTCAGAAACAGCAATAAAAGACCACAAAGTGACAGAGGGAGAATTCCCTGATGTAACAAAAGCTGAGGAACGTGAGTGTAAACAACCTGGGATGAAGAAGAAGAAGAAAAAGAAAAGGAAAACTGAAAATTGTGCAGAAAATGGTATGATAGCTCTTATTTTTACTTCTTTTCAAATGAGCATATAAGGAAACAAAACTTTATGTCTATAAAAAAAATAAATCTGCATTTGGAGCAGGTTTAATGTTTAGTGGAGAGAGTACTGCTTCATCTTCAGATAATTATTGATAATGAAAATTGGTTTTGTGATATGCAGGTGGTAAAAAAGCAAAAATTGAGGAAGAAGATCTTGAAACACAAGAGGGTTTACCTGGGAATCTCAAAGTAGAAGAAAATGCTGAAGATCTGACTGAAGAAGAGGCATCTGATGATGCTGATGGACCTGTCTTGCCTCTGGGTTTAACAGGCAAGTTTCCTCAATGCTGTTTCTCAGATCTTTCTTGTATGTTGATATATTCTCATTAAACCATAAATGCATGGAATACGTCTTATCAAACTCAAGGTAATTTAAAAATATATAATAATGGCATGCAGCATACTAAACTTGTAATCTCTTTTTTATTGAACTTAGAGGTCAAGCCTTTGGCCTTGGTTAAATATTTATTTGTTTTAATTGTTAGTGCACTGGCTTGTGGGTAACATAAAATGTATACCAAAAAGATCCATTCCTAGTGATTAAAATATTAAAGGATACTACATTAAGAAAAAATGTAGTAATTAACAGCATTGAGTACTTTCTTCTGATGGATGAAGAGCTGTAACCCAAATAAATAAACATAAACTCAATGGGTTTCAAGGATAATTTAAATAAATGCAGGGGTGTTTGTTGAAAATATTTTTGAGGAATGTGATATATATATAGAAATGCATTATTTAAATCTAAATAGTACAAATTTTCCAAAATAGAGTGGCTTAATTTGGCTCAGCCTTAAATGATTTAATGACCTAATATTTCCTTCCATGTTTATCTTCCTGCTTGATGTTTATTTATTTGTTTATTTGTAAATGTATAAGTTTATTTATTTACAAATACGCCAAGGTGGCAAACATATGAAACAAATCTTTCTGATCCTATTTTCCCTACAACAACAATCATATGAGGTGGGTAGAACTGAGAGAGAGTCCAAAGTCACTCAGATGGATGCTCTTTCATGATTAAGGCGGGGATAGAACCCATGGTTTCCAGTCTGATGTCTTAAATACTACACCAAATTGGCTCTCAGTTGTTTTAAACTAAGCAAACTTAAACTGAGTTCTATTTTAATACAATTGACTTCTTTTTTTATCTATAGTGATTGATTAGGAGCAATTAAATCAGGCTGACATTGCTTGTCTCTTCAGGTGCTTTTGAGGATACTTCTTTTGAGTCTCTTAATGATCTTGTCAGTGAGAACACGTTGAAAGGGATAGCAGACATGGGATTTACACACATGACAGAAATTCAACATAAAAGTATTAAGCCGCTTTTGGAAGGCAGGTAAGAAACAACATTTTTAAAGGGAAATGAATTTCTGTCACAGATGATTGACAGGCGGAAAGCAGTAATGATTAAAAATGTTGTCTTGGAGTTAGATTATTCAGTTAATCAGCCTTATTTATTAAATATTAATTAATTTTAAGTTCATATTAATGAAAAAATGTTAACTTCCAACCAACTTACACATTCCTTTTTTCTCTTTTCTTTTTGTAATTATCCTACATGCAGAGATATTTTAGCAGCTGCAAAAACTGGCAGTGGCAAAACTCTTGCATTTCTCATTCCAGCCATAGAACTTATCTACAAGTTAAAATTTATGCCTAGAAATGGTGAGAATTTTTTTTTCTTGAAATAACATTTAAAATCTTGATAAATGTGTAGAAGGGCCAAATAGTCATTTCCGTGGGAAAAAAGATCTCTAACTTGATGGCAATTGCTTTTTCTAATTTGGTTGTCTTGTCTTGGTGGGATCTTGTTTAAAAGGAGCAGGGGTTTCTGATGTCTATTGTTTACTTTGACTGAGTGAGGGCAGCAGTATTGCATCTCTTATCACTGTTCCTGAGGTGGCAGAGCATGAGTTCCTATGTGTTAGGTTGAACCACAGTTACAAGTTGGAGTCCTTTTGGTGTATCAGTCCTCTTTGCTGAATGGGACCCTGAACTGGGCTCTCTAGTCACCAGCTTGATCATCTTCCTCTGTACCTAGTGGTTTTGGAAGGAGATGGTTTTAGTAGACTTAAGAGTTTATAGCCAACATGGTGGCAGCCATGAATTTTGGTGATCCATGGAAATCTGAGCTCCAAATGTGTAGGTAAGGCCCATGTTAAAACTTGTTTTTATCTCTGGACAGTTAGCAATCAGGATGTTGAGAATGCAGTATTACTGTCTTTTATATGTCATCGTCAGGTCGCGTCCTGGTCCAAATGCAGTTGACTGCCACCTGTTCCCTCTGTGGGGCTTGACCCATTCATTTGGTCCACCTTAGGCACCTTATGGAGCCAAATGATTTTCCTAGGTATTTGGCAGTTTCCTTGACATGAGTAGAGGTTGAGTTGAGAGATTGACCCATCAGAAAGCAGGGTATCAGGTCCCTGACAAAATTTCTCCTGACTGTTGGCCAGTCTGGATGATCCCTTGGTTTACGGAAGATGGGAGACGAAGTGGCAGAAGCAATGCCCAGAATACAAGTGGAAGGTAATGAAGACTGAATCTGACTAAGCACAGCTAATGTGCCCAGGTTTGGGCCAACTCTGTGGCAATACATGAGGCAAAGTTATGTAATTCTCTCTTATTGTGTCAAAAGGTTATCATCCAGTAGCTCATTTCTCCTAATTTATTTGAGTAAAGTGTTGTCTTGTAGAATTACCACTCTGACCAACTAGCTGGGCTGAATCCCAGGGGAGTTGATCTTCCATAGTAGGTCTAGCCTTCTGGAGCGGCTTCCCATTGGAGGTTCTGTTGGCTCTGGCATTGTCCACTTTCCAGAAGAAATTGATAATGGAACTCTCTTGAAGGACATTTGGTGTGTGACAGCATCTGTTGTTAGCAGGCTTTACAAAGTATTTGGGGTTTGTATGACAGATAGTCCACAACTTACAACCTCAATTGAGCCCAAAATTTATGTTGTTTAAGTGAAAATTTTGTTAAGTGAGTTTTACCCCATTTTACGACTTGTCACATTTGTTAACTGAATCACTGAAGATGTTAAATTAGTGACATGGTTGTTAAGTAAATCCAGCTTCGCCATTGTCTTTGCTTGTCAGAAGGTTGCAAAAAGTGATCATATGACCACTTTAATAATCATAAATATGAACCATATCCAAAGTAAACATCACATGCTAAAATGGTCATAAGTGTGAAGAAATGTCATGGCTCACTTTTTTCAGTGCCGTTGTAACTTCAAACGGGCACTAACTGAACTGTTGCAAGTTGAGGACGACCTGTATTCTCTGTGTGTGGGGGAAGGGGGGGGGTTGTTTTGTTTTTTGCTGCCAAGAGTTTAGATTGCTTAGATTGCAGTAAGATGATAGACAGGCAAACAGATAAGGTTTGCCATTATCAGTTAGAAACTCTCTAGACATCTCTGTTTCCCTTCTTCTTTTTAGGAACAGGTGTTCTCATTCTCTCACCAACTCGAGAACTTGCCATGCAGACTTACGGTGTTCTCAAAGAACTGATGACTCATCATGTCCACACCTATGGCTTGATAATGGGGGGCAGTAATAGATCAGTCGAGGTACAAAAACTTGGAAATGGCATAAACATCATTGTCGCAACTCCAGGCAGGCTTCTGGACCATCTGCAGGTAAAACAGATAGTATTGCATCATGTACATCCTCTCTTTTGTCCATGTATGTCGTTGACACCGTTGTTGGATGTGTTTTAGAATACTCCAGGGTTTATGTATAAGAACCTGCAGTGTCTGATAATTGACGAAGCTGATAGAATTTTAGAAGTTGGGTTTGAAGAAGAAATGAAACAGATCATAAAGCTTCTACCAAGTAAGTCAGAGACTTATGCTATCTGTATTTTGTGACACTTAAAAGTTTATGCAGTAATCCTGAGTTATTTCCACCTTTGAAAATCCTATTCTTGTATAGGCTGTACTAATGCCTACAATTCACTTCAAGCACTCTACAAGTTACGTAGATCTTGAGTGTTTGGTTGATTAATACCTTTTATAGTGTTATATTGTGCGTACTTACTAAAGAAAATCCTTCTCTATTCAGTGGACATTACTCCCAATTTAGAATCGTTTGAAAAAAATTAGGATGATCCAAATTTAGGATGGCTTGAAAAAAATTAGGGTGGCTCGAAAAAACATCGTGATATGGATGAGTGGCTATGTATAGCATTGCTATTTTGTTTCTATTCTAAATGTGATGATTAGTTCATTTTTTTATTATAAAAGCTTGTGAGACACTTGTTTTTAAAGGGATTCCAAGTGGCATGTACCACCTGGATATTTCTAATTTGTTACCTTGTTGACGTATGAAAAAAAAACATGTATGTTTAATTTCATCCCTTTCCCTGCCAGAGCGTAGACAAACCATGTTGTTCTCTGCTACACAAACCCGTAAAGTTGAAGATCTGGCAAGGATTTCTCTAAAAAAGGAGCCATTATATGTTGGGGTTGACGACAATAAAGAGACAGCAACTGTAGAAGGTCTCGAACAGGTAATTTAAGCACAGATATTGTGGCAAATCGTATTTTGCTTATGTGTCTGCTCTTAACACTTAATTCCCTTCTTTCTTTGGGATTCTCTTCCTGGGCCCTTTCTTTCTCATTTTGAGATTTGTATCCAAGCACAAGGATGCTTTTTTCCCTGTGTTTCTAATTCTAGCTCTTCACAGTCTATTAATTTCTCTTTCAAAATGTTCATGAATTCTTTATCAGACTTGATTGATAACTGCTGACTATATACTGACATTTCTGGATTTTCATATTCCTTCATCAATACATTGTTGCCTGTTGTACAGGTAATTAAATTAAAATGTATACTTGCATCCTCATTTCGAAGTCCTTAGAAATAGCAGTCTGGGAAGTCAATAATCATTTTCAAACAATTACAGGGATATGTAATATGCCCCTCAGAAAAGAGATTCCTCCTGCTCTTCACTTTCTTAAAGAAGAATCGGAAGAAGAAGTTAATGGTGTTCTTCTCCTCATGTATGTCCGTGAAATACCACTATGAACTTCTTAACTACATTGATCTGCCGGTATTGGCTATTCATGTAAGTATTCATGATTTGGATGAATTGATGTACACACACCTACTGTCATGCCCCTGTTGGAGTCTGACTCTGAGGGAGAGATAGAACAGCTGACAGGGAGTGGGAGTATGGCTCCGGTGGTTGTGGAGGAAACTGGGGAAGGGCACAGGCTGGATGGGCATTCAGAGGAAGATCCAGCCCATCCCCCCTTCATCCTAGGGCACGCAGGGAGGAGTGGATAAGGGAGAAACGTGAGTGGTGTGGTCTACGGGGGAGGAAGGGGCCCTGATCCCCTTCATGGGCTGCAGCTGGGAGGACTGGTTAAAAGGACAAACTACGCATGGCAAAGGTGCTAGAAGCAAAGTGTCCATTCTTGTCGGAGCTTATCTGTGTTTGGTTTCCTCCCAACTGTGGTTACTGCATTATCTGGTAGAAGTTTGCAATTAATCATCCTTGCCTGCCATAGTAATTCCTTCAGTGTGGTTTGTGTTGGGTTTTTTATTTCGAATTAACTTTACTTTGGGTGCAGACTGTATTTACTCCCTCCGTAAACTGTTTTCTTTAATAAGAGTTTGATATCCTGCTGAGGATAATTGGACATTGGGGCCAAGTTGGAGGCATTAAAGGGACTTTCTTCTATTTTTGTGACTTGGTTATTTTTGTGTCACGCCCCAGGTCATCACACCTACAGTACTGTGCAAAAGTCTTAGGCTGCCATTAGATTTGTTGTAGTAGCAAATGTATAATGACCATACATATAATGATGTCTCAGTCTCCTTATTAGAATACAACCAGAAAATACAGGAAATTTGTAGGCAGTATTCAAAAAACAGGAAAAACAAAAAAAGACTTTTATGGGCCAAAGTGTCAAATACAGATAGGCCTTGAGTTACAACAGGTCATTTAGCGACTACTCAAAGTCATAACGGCACTGAAAAAAGTGACTTATGACCATTTTTCATACTTATAACCATTGCATCATCTCCTTGGTCATGTGATTTACATTCGGATGCTTGACAACTGGTTCACATTTATGACGGTCGTAGTGTCTCGGGGTTATGTGATTCCCCTTTTTGCAACCTTCTGACAAGCCAAGTCAATGGGGAAGCCAGATTCACTTAAGTGAGACTAATTTAACAACTGCACTGATTCACTTAACAAATGTGGCAAGAAAAGTCATAAAACGAGACGAAACCCACTTAACAAATTTCTCACTTAGCAACATAAATTCTGGGTTCAATTGTGGTTGTATGTCGAGGACTATCTGTATGTAATGTGACTTCCTCATACACTTGAACGACACCTGGGTCCTGTAAACTGAAATGGGGAACCCTCAGTACTGTCATTGTTTAACACCTTGTGTATCCTACTATTTCATGCCAAAGTGACTGCCGTGTAGATAGATAGATAGATAATAGATAGATAGATAGATGATAGATAGATACATAGATAGATAGATAGATAGATAGATAGATAGATAGATAGATAGATAGATAGATAGATAGATGATAGATAGATAGATTGATGATGATAGATAGATAGATAGATAGATAGATAGATAGATAGATAGATGATAGATAGATAGATAGATAGATAGATAGATAGATAGATAGATAGAT